AAGAACATTTTAATATATTTTACTGGACCACCTACCTAGATGGATCCAGGGGCAGGGTGGTGCATGCACCTCCCTGACTCAAGCTGCGTAGCTGGGAAAGATGTTGGACACATTTTTGGACGCAAAGCACCCTGGGGGGCGATTTAGGAGTAAGGGGCAAAGGCTAGGCACGGGCACAGAGCTGCCCCCTCCCCTCCCCTCCCCTCCCACAGGTGTCATCTTTTTGGATGCTGGAAATACCGCCGGGTTCTGGAGATTTTTTTTTTTAAGAGAAAAAAAAAAATCAACCCTTCCCCCATCGCTGGGACGAGAGGACAAGCTGAGTTTTAAGGCACCCCCGGGTCACAACAACCGTGCGTCAAGCATGAAAAAGGACGTGCGGCCTGGGCTCGGGGGGAGAGGGCCGGGGCAGGAGGGGAACCCAGGCCCGCCCGCACTCACTCGCTCACCCCGATGCTCCGGCGCCGCCATCTTGCGCAAAGCCTCAAGCTGCACGACGCCCCCACCTATCACAACGCGGCATGGTGCAGGGCGGCCCCCGGCGCATCCAATCGGCGTCCCCGTTGCTCCCCCCCAGCCACTCTCTGCCACTGGGGGCTTAGAGAGCCTTTGGCGCGCCAGGAAGGAGAGCGGAAGGGGCGGTGTGGCAGGCTTCGGGCCAATCATCGCGAGGAGCCCGGTGGCTGCGCCCAATGGGCGCAGGGCGGAGGCGGGTCTTTCCCACGCTTCGGTTCCTGTCGCCTCCCAGGCCTGGTTGGAGCTGGCCGCAGCCATGATCGAGCAACAGAAGCGCAAGGCGCCGGGCCCGGGTTCGGGCCCGGGTCCGGGCCCAGGCCCAGGCCCGGAACTCGCTGTGGTACCTGCAGCGCCCAAACGGCCCCGCCATGAGCTACTGCTGGGGCCCGGCGCGGGCGGGGCAGCCCCGGGAGCGCTGCTGCAGGCGGTGAGTGCGGGGGGTAGGGCCCGGCGCGGGGGCGGCGTTGCCAGATCCTAAATAGGAAGTTGTCGTATTGGGAAGCCCAAAATGATCATATTTGCTGAAAAACTGTCATGCACCGAATAACAACTTACTATAATTACTTTATACGACCAAACTTTGCTGGAGGTATTTAAGGTTGTGTTGCGTGTGCAGACCGTCAGGGTTTGGGAGCTGCTGGTCTACAGGAAAATGCAATCGGGACTCGTAGTCAAGATGATATCTTTTTATTAGACTTTTGCAGAGGAATTTTTTTGATTTTGCAAAAATCTTGTTGGTCTAATAAAAGGTGTCGTCTTGACTACAAATCCTGAGCCTATATTTTGAACGCTTTTACTTGTATTTTCAACAAATATGATCATTTTGAGCTGCCGATACTTTTACTGATCGTACCTCATGCAAGGGTGGGAATTGTCATACAAATGCGATAAGTTATCGTACATCTGACAATGCTGGATGGGGCCACAAATCGCTTCCAGCTGCTGGTTGTTGAGAGGGTTGCAGCCCTGTCGTGTCCCCCTCCATGTGTGAGGAGTGAGGGCAGGAGGCCCAGCCTCATGGTGCGCACGGCAGGGGCTATGGGTAGGGGTGGCAGCCTGCTCTGGCACCTTTCACAATGTGGAAGCTGCTGCCAGCACCATAAAATCCTAGTTCCACCTCCATCCTGTGGAGTTGGGTATCTCTGCATCCGTTGGGTCGTATCTGCTCCTCGGCCTGCCCCCCACCCCCCAGGTTTGCTTAGCTGGCACGCACAGCCAGCAAGAACCCACCCCAGCTGCGTTCAGATGCTTCATTACCCCTGCCTGCCTTTCCTGTTTTCTAGGGTCCTCCCAGGTGCTCCTCACTGCAGGCTCCTATTATGCTGCTTTCAGGACATGAAGGGGAAGTTTACTGCTGCAAGTTTCACCCTAATGGAAACACCTTGGCTTCCGCAGGATTTGACAGGCTCATCTGTGAGTTGGTAGCCATGTCATACAAATGAACTTCCTAATAGCGCAGGGTGGTGAGCAAAACTGCTGCCCAGGCCAGCAGTTTGAGGCACCATCTTTAACATTAGTTAATGTAAGGGCCTTCGAGCAGCACCCCTTTCAAAGTCTAATTTCCTTATTAGTGGTTGCCTTTTGTTGAGGGGGTGGGGCAGTGGTCAGGCAAGGACCAGCCTGCACTTATCTCCTCACACCTTGTGGTACCCTTCAGAAGATCTTGTGGCACCCCAGAATTTCCTGGCACCCTTCTTGAGAACCACTGGATTATGCTTTCAAGCAGTTATGCAGCAACTCACCTTGGCAGTGGAGCGAGCATGTCAGCACTCTCATGGCAACACCTGTTACACATCAAAGAAGAAATCAAGGTGTTGGTGACCAGTTGAATGCCATTAGTGATTGATCTGGGACCCTCTTATGACAAGGTGCATGGTGTGAGATATGCTGTCACAGCAGTTAGGATTGGCTGACTTGATCTTCATGTCAGGTTCTACTACAGGAACTGTACAGAGGTAGTAGAAAGTAATTTTGGTTTCTTAACAGAGAATTTCCCCAAACATAATATATTAATGCTTGGTAGGGCAGTAGAGTCAGTTCTTCCTATGGGAGCTAATTCATACATTCTGCTTGGTCTAAAAACATAAATATACTTTAAGGCAGGGGTGTCAAACTCCTCTGGCCCCACAAGTTGGATGAGTGGTGTGGAGCCAGTCCACAAACTGGATCCCCCGCTTGCAGCTGCTGAGACTCATGCTACATGTAGCTGGAATGGATGGGAGCAGCAGCTGCGTTTCACACAGTTGCTGGGCTGTACCACATATGCCAACCCCAACAGCTCTTGGACTGTGCTGCACACTGCATCTGCTCTGGCCAGTCTGGGGCCTGTGCTGCACATAGTGCCAACAAGCACTGCATGCAGTGCAGGTCTTGGACCAGCTGGAGTGGACTGACTGTACCACGTGGTCCCTGCTCTGGGATCCATGCCACACAGCATGGGTCCCAGACTACTGGAGCAGCCACCAAATCAGACATGCTTGTAGAGGTAGGAAGGGGAGGGGGTCCATAGGCCTGATCTGGCCCATGGACTAGCCTCATGTGATGTTCCCCATGTGTGTGATTAGATCCAGGGGCGACCCTGGGGACAGCCCCAAGGCCAGATGGCAGGGCTCTGTGGGCTGCATGTTTGATGCCTCTGACTTAATATAAGAACCTTGTTGCACCTCACACTCTGAGCCACAAAAATGACTGGCTGGGGTCATTGCAAGTCCCCTGGCGCGGCTTTACGAACATTCATGGTGCTCTGGAGAGGTGCCGGAGGACTGGAAGAGGGCCAACGTGGTTCCCATCTTCAAAAAGGGGAGGAAAGAGGACCCGGGGAACTACAGGCTAGTCAGTCTTACCTCGATCCTGGGCAAGCTGTTTGAGAAAATTATTCTGGCACACATCCAGGAGGGGCCAGCAGGGAACTGCATGCTCAGGGGCAACCAGTACGGGTTCATCAGCAGCAGATCCTGTCAGACCAACCTGGTGGCCTTTTACGACCAGGTCACTAAATCATTGG